TCTGCATACTTTTGAAAACGGGATCTTAAAATTAATGTAGTTAATGTAAAAGTAATGCATTTCATATAAGAACATTAGCAGTGCAATGAAATAATCGCTGTTATTTCATGTTCAGAAACGCAGTTCAGCAATAATCATAATCAATGCAAGCATCACTTTCTGTCCAACTTCTTCGGTGGGCACAACCTGCATTTTATTTGCTGCAAACATATATCTGTATTAATATTTTATGGAAAGGCTGATTCTGTCATAAAAAAGGAATCCCTGAACAAATTAAAAGAGTATAAATACATAGTGTAGCAAGCCTGTAAATGAATGCACCACACTGCTCCCCCTGGTGGATACACAAGGCATTACTGCCAGTTTTCCTAATGGTCACTTAGTGGTGTTACTACTCATGGTTGCATCATCCACGTCACAGGCGGGAGATCTCATTACGGTCATCCATCAGTTGCAGCCTGTTCTTATGGGTGAAATCCAGTACAATGACGGTCCCGCGGTAATACACGTTTCAGCCATGTATTCCAGCTCTAACCACCTTCTCCCTGACCTTAACCAGCACTTTAATGACGTTAAATAGTGTTTTCCAAAGCGATTTAAGTAAAATGAACGAACATGTGTAGATTGATTCCAGACAGTTCTCATGTTTCCTTGTTTGTCCGATCTCGTCATTTTAAGGACGTGTTGGGTACCCGGACGCGTAATATGTTGACGATTTGTCACCTCGTGTAAAATATTACGCTTTGGGAGTGAGAAGTTGTTGTCAGTCGGCAATCGGTCAGGATTCCACCAGGATCCTTTCTGGTCCTATCAATGATTTTAAGTGACAAAAAAAAAATGTTTTGCCAGCCACAGAAAAGAGTTGCTAATAGAGGCTAAGAGCAGCAAACAGTGGCAAAAAATAGCAGCGCTTACCAACAGAGAGGTTCAGGTTATCCTCAATAACTTAGTTTTGGTGTTAGTGGACAAAAGTGAGCTTTACTGACTTATCAACTCACATTGGACTGTTTCACAAGTTTCACATCCACCCCTTGGTAAATAGACATGGACACATTTCTATAGTTTTCAGTCATGTGACTGACTCTATCGTGGAAGGCAAAAAATGATTCCATCGTGATGGATAGTATAGACAGTCTGTAGTATTTTAGGACAAAAGTGTTTTAGGACAGTAGGTATTTTAAGACTACATAAAATATCTATCAATGGAGAAAAAAGATATGATATGAAAAGAAACTACAAATTTTAGGTTGGGTGTTCCATATTCTGCCCCAGCAGCTTTGTTTAAATCCATGAAAATGGCGACGTCTCTGCCAGAGCTCCAGTTTGACGACACTAGGTGTATGTTACAGAGAATTGCTCACCTTACGATGCTGTCAGGATGAAAGCTTTCAAAGTATGGGCCACTACTGAATGCAGTGGAGAAGCAGGGATTGGTATGATTTGGCCTGTAAGGCCGGGTTAGGAGAGGTTAAGGTTCAAAGGGTGGCTGGAGGGCAAAGGACTGCAGTACTGACGTCATGTGAAAACTATGGATTGACACATGAGGTCAACAGTGGACTGACATCCTGCACTCACTACAGCTGAATGGTGGGAGGGGAAAGAAAACAGAATTCATTTGACTGCAATCTGATATCTACTGACCTCTGGTCGAGAGATTTTACACACTGTACCTTTAAAGCTACCCTCCTTTATGCCAAATTTATTGTGACTCTCATAAACGTCTGTATTAACCCTTTTCTCTTTGATGGCATACATTGTATGTATGCTAATAAATCAAGAGGAACACATTAATGACAACTAGTGCACTCAGCAGATGATAGATATCCATCTTCTGGGTGCTGATTAATGCTGTGCCAATGCAGAAGACAAATGCATGACATATTCATCACTTTTATGCCAGGTCACACTGCTCCAATTAAAGGCGCCAGTTGATTTGAAAATCTTTTAATCTGAAAAGTGAAACATGTGCATGTAACCAAAGACCTTTTTGATTGCTTTTTATTTGCATCACCAGCACAGTTCTCTTCTTTGTTTTTGCAAATTAGTTTCTCAGGTTTTTTAAGGTAACACTGTCCTTCATGAAGAATGTTCTCTTCATAGTGTGTTGAGGAAAGACAGCATGTCACCATTGTGCTGATGAAATTAATTCCCTTTTTATTTGACAACAGTGTAACCTTCATGTTCTCCTCTTTCAGACAGCACAGATACTTTTAAATGTTGCACAAGCTCTCAGATTCTGCTCATAGTTATCCTTAGGCTTAATAGAAGACTCTCACAGTATCTTGCAGTCCTTTAGGATTGTCTGTGAACAGAAAATAAGAAAAGCTAATACAAATCTTGTTATCCTCTGTGGCTCATTATTAAGTATCTACACCCTCTTAAAAATTCACAACCTAAGAAAATCTGTAAGTTGGAAAAAACAGACTGGATTTAGATTTAATCACACAAAAGCCCGTAGACTAGGGGTTAGTAATTACCACGACTGAAATGGTTTTCATAATCACCTGGGCTAATTGGAAACATGAAAGTAGGCCAGCTAACCGCATTACTGTAAATCATTATTGCCTGTGTTAATAATCCTGTTTTCCTATCTCCAAAAGGTATTCATAAACTTTTGAAGTGGATGGGACTTTAGATAAAATCAAATAAAAGTAATAAATAAAATATACATCCTATTTCTGGCAGAGACCACCCGCTAACAAACCTGCTGCTTTTTTATCTTTGGCTGATGAAAGGTTTATATTCATATGGATCCCAATAAAGAGCTTGGATTGCATTGCTCCTTCGGTTTCAAAATCACCCACAATACTTTAATGTGTCTTATCTTTATATATTTGTATGTAGGTACTTCATGAGTTGCTAATTATTGCATCAATGTTATTGGTGGAAGGTTTCATGTCTCCTAATACAAACATGGCAGAAGATTTAAAGAAAGAACATTTAAAGAAATCACTGACTTGAATATTCAGTTGATTTTCCTGCTCTTTTGCTTGTTACAAAGTTCAGATGAGTTAATTAGATGTTTCCTTTAGTTGAGATGCAGAATATAGCTAGTTATTGTTGTCATCAAGGCTCCAAAATCATCAATCCCTGCAAATAAGTTACACCACAGCAGTTTTTCTATGTTTAAGGGTGATGGACAGACTGAAAGAGCAGGCAAAATTGCAGCAGCAGCATTGGCATTTTAAAGGGGGAGATGGGAAGGTTCAAATCTTAAATAAATAATAAAATAAACAAATAGGGAGAGTGTTTGCTATATGGTGTGAGGCTCACTGCCATCAGATTGCTGTCATAAATCATGGACAGAAGATATTCCAACAAGGAAATATCATTATCATTATAAAAATTCAACAAGTGCACCTTGAAAGATAAGGGACAGCAGACGTATGGGAGAAGAGTGGAACTCTTTCCGAATTTGTCAGTATTTAAAATGAAAATTAAAGTGTACATTTTAACAAAATTGCAGTATTTGTACTGAACAAATGACCAGTTCATGCACATTATAATAGACACATCACATCTTTGATATATGAGAGACACCGAATGCCATAGCCACCTATCAAATTAGTTACATTTGATAATGGTGTGAACTAACTTGTAGGTGTCACAACATACACAGCATATCTATGAGGTTGCAGTGATTGCTTTAAAAAGGATGTGCACCAGGAGTTATATATTCATAACACCTGTCCACTGAAGCGCACATCAGTTTCACATAAAGGCCCAGTGGTTGTCCAGTGTACTGGATAATCATTACAATGTACTGTTACTGTCAGTATTTCCAATTATATCGGACAGGATTTGTAGCCAGAGGCAAGCATCAGAGGCGATCTAGTTTGGTGGTCTCGAACAAAGTCTCTGCTTTTTAAGAATAATGTGGTCTTGTTGTCTTTCTTGAAGTGGCTGGCTGAGAATTGGCTCCTCCTAGTCCTAGATTGTGGTTCTCAGTCAGAAAAGGTTTGCCCGTTCCTGGTTGAGGATAAACTGCTACTTCAAGCTGTTTATCTGTGTGGTCACAAGTTTGGGAGAGGAAGCAGGAAATTGGCAGATGAATTTGATGAATCACCTTCACTAATCAAATGATCTAGTTTTTGTCTTTTTGTCCTTTGTGATGTCCTGGTGGATCTACATTCTTATCCTAAGCTATGGGCAGAAACTGCATGCAGAAAAAATAAGGCTGCAGATCCAGAAACGGAAAGAAGATTCTTTCAAAGTGAGTCTGGGCTCAGCTGTTGTTCCTCAACCTGGAAAAGAGCTAGTAGTTGGGATGGTTCTGCTGTTTGATTTGGATAGGGGCTAGGTGCCCTTTTTTTTCAGGGTGTTTTGGATCATGTGAAACAAGGATGTGTTAGATTATGTCTCTCGGCTGGTTTGGGAATGCCTTGATACACTCAGCTTACTGAAATTTAAAGTTCTTCTCCTTGGTGGCTCACAATAAAGGAGGATTTGCCTATACTAATCACATCTCTCTCTGTCTTCTAGCTGCAGTCATCTTATTTCAGTCAGTTCTACTTGCTCAATTACATTTTCCATTTGCACAAAAAACCTGAAATAATGTGGGATAGAAACATGCTTTTTCTTTGGTATACAAATGGCAACAGTTAAGTTGGAAGATGTAGGAAATTAGACGCTAGTGTGCAGGAGTGAGAAACATTAAGGGCTTTTTAACCAAGCCAGCAAAAAGGGAAGTGACCACTGACCTGTAATTGGAAGGAGATGGATGGATAGACATAAAAGAAAAGAGAAAAGGGGCAAAGAGGGGACGATCTGGAGGAGGGAGAAGGGGAGAACAAGATGAAGTAAGAGCAGCAACCAACAAATTAATCTTTTCTTTCCCTTTTTCTCCTTCTCAGTGGATTCATTCGTCTCCTCTGTCAGTAGTCTTTATCTCCTATCCCACCCCTTGATCAGTCCTATCTCCTCTGAATGACCCGTTTTTCCTGCTCATCCTCTCCTGTTCTGAATTTCTTCACCACTCTTTGCTCTATTTCCATCTCCAGGCATGGCTGACAGAGATTCATGAATACGCCCAGCAGGATGTGGTCGTCATGCTGCTGGGCAACAAGGTGAGACCTTGTTGCCAACACTGGGAGATAGATGGACAGATGGACTCATAGAGGGTGGGAAGAAGGGATCACAGGAGGTATAGTAGGGCCTTGAGCCAGAGTGTAATGGATATGCACAAAAGCAGGGGAAATTTTTTTTTATAGAAATGATTTTCCAATGTCAAAAAGTTTTCAGTAGTTACATCATTATATCAGAACAAAGCAAAACAATGCACATTATTAAAGCTTAACTAATCAATAGTTCACATTAATACTAGCAACCAATCAAGTCGCTTTGAGCGTGACATTAAGTGGTTGCTCATATTGATGAATGGAAAGATTTACAGCTTTAATGAGCTTTTTAGCATTGTTTGATTTTAGCCTTCAAATTTATGGTTTTACTATCTGGAGCTGCTGTACACAGTGGAACACTTAACAACTAGCAAAGCTAGGCATTTAACATAACCAGCCAGACAAATAAAATGTTTTGCTCAGGAGTTGGTGGCAACAGTGGAAGCTTCAAGAAGAGTTAGTTAATATATTCATATTCTTTCTTCTGCAGTCACACAAGAGAAAACAGTAGTTGCAGACTGTAACATGACCAACTACGTGCAGTTAACTTGTGATCTCACTGGTTTGAAATGGTTGCTCTGAAGAAACAATGCACAATCTGTTGCAGGCTTCAAACTGACTTTGGTGTGTCAAAGCAGCAATAAAATGGCAATAGGATGGAGTCAGTCTGCAATAAGTTTGTCATTGAATGGGGTCATGTTGGCAGTTACCCTCAATCTGTTTAAACCATTAACTTTGATAAACTGACAAGAATTGCAAATCTCTTACCAACTAAATGCACAAAAAATCCCATTAAACAGAAATTCACATTAACGACTTACATTTAGAGTCTAGACAGAACCTCATAGATTTAAAACAAGAATTCATAAATTCTTCCACAAATAGTAATGTAGTTGCTGCAGGGTAGCAATTTAACTGCAATATGCGCACAGCAACCTTGCGATTATAAAGTGATATAACCAGAACACAACCTGTTTAATCAACCTTATTGCAAAGACATGCATTACAGATGGGTTGTGCTTATCAGTGCAGACTGACTCAGATTGCAACGTATAAATGATATGGCAGTTATTTGCAAACCTTGGCTAATCTGTTTTAGAGGGATTTCAGTCAATCTGAGTTAGACAGGTTGCCTCCCACTCCTGCCTCGTATTTAAAAGTGATCACTCTGAGGTTGATGGTTGCATCATCAACATCTGGGCAACCAGTTATTAGCTGCAAGGACTTGCAGTGAGCCTCCAAAAGCAAAAACACCCAAACAACTACCAATTTTTTGCTAAATTGCAAGCTTATTGTCCTGTTTTTACTGTAGCGTGACTAAGGCTTACATTAGTCACAATCCTAAATTAATGCCAAGTATCTTTTTCTGTTCAGTATCTAATTGTTCAGTAACATACTTGCTGTAGACTTAGTTTTTAGACTGTAAATTCCACTTTTATCAGCTGTATTTACAGTAATAGCATTTTCTGTAAACCCTAGAACATAGGTGTCAAACTCTGGCCCGCGGGCCAAATTTGGCCCGCAGCCTAATTACATTTGGCCCGCGAAGCCATACCAAATTACTATCAGAGCTGGCCTACTGGTATTATACAGCTAATATATATATTGTTTAGTGTTAAGCTTTGCTTGTTCCATATTCAGTTTTTCAGCAAAACGTGTTTGAGTCCATAAGAAAAGATTCATTGTTATATCTGGATGAATAAATATATTTCAATAAATATTAACGTTAGCCCGCGACTTTGTTCCAGTTTTGAATTTTGGCCCACTGTGTATTTGAGTTTGACACCCCTGCCCTAGAATAATTAAGCTAGCAGAAAGCTAGCTACTAGCCAATACTGAAAGTTGAATATTATATATTAAATAGCCACGAAGTTGCTAAAAATAAAAGAATATAATGTAAATAAAAGATTTATGTTCAAAGATGTGTATTCACACAAATAATAAACCTAATTTTTCTTCCAGTTAGGTCATTGTGTTCTCATACCGACTTGCTAATATGGTAACTAGATTAGCAGAGCTAACGAAATAGCAACAGTCCTAAAAAAATTGTGCTTGTTATAGAGTTGCTAGCTCAAGCATCTAAAACGAGGAGGGTCACAGTCTCTTTATTTTTTATGATTATTAAAAAACATATTTTGTCATTAGGACCAACTACACTAAAGACACTGTGAGAAGAATATAAGTGACAGTTTCTGATTCTGTGCTGTCTGTCCCATATGTTCTAGGCTGACGTGACACATGACAGGGTGGTGAAGCGAGAAGAGGGGGAGAAACTGGCAAAGGTGAGCTTTCTATAACACAAACTTGTGCCTATACACATAGCACACATAACGTTTGACATATGTAACAAGAATAAAAAATACTTACTATACTTAATCCGCTCATGCAGCAAAGTTGACCTTGAAATTCTCTCCTATCCCCACCCCGTATGGCTTGTGCGTCTTGATTAGTGTGTGCAATTATGTATTCATACAGGCACATAATGTTGTTATTGTTTGGAATAAATGACGGGGGATTGCTAACTTAATTTTCCAGGCCGTTTCGCTCAGATAAGCTCTGAGAGGCATGTTAGAGAAGGCTAAATATGAAGTGGTATGGAGTAGTGTGGCAGACGCACAGCAGCTGTCAAGGTAACAAACTCAGTAGGAATATTGAGATATTCACACGTACACGGAATGAGATTGCTTCACCTGGGAGCATCTCTCATCGACCACATTCTGCGTTCTCGCTCTTTTTCCAAATTACAACAAAATGACAAGAAAATTAGTTTTGAAAGCCAGGAACCTCAGTAGCCATCACAAGTATTTTTGAAATATTAGTATTGATCATCAACCCTCTCATCCCTCCCCAGGTGTCATAAACCCCTCGGCACGAATATACTTCCAATCTTAAATTAATCCTAAGTCTAATTTTTCTGCAATTTAGGTCATTATGTCCTCACAGTAAAAGACAGACAAGTGGCATGGCCACACACACACACACACACACACACACACACACCTGAAAATATATTTTTCTGTATGCAGGAATTTGGAGTGCCGTTTATGGAGACAAGTGCAAAATCTGGACTGAATGTCGAGCTGGCGTTCACTGCTGTGGCCAGGTGAGTCTCAGCACAACAGCACAAATATTAGATCCCAGAGGGAGATTAGATGTGATCATAAAGCAAGCATATGCAACTTAAGGAGTAACGTTTGCTCATTTGACTACACTAAGTGATTTTCCATTATAAGTTTTACCCAAATTTTGGCTGATTTAGAAAGCATTTGCTGTGTAACTGATGTTACTGAGTTACTTTGACTTTTTTCAGACTGTATAACTAAATTGGTAAAACGACTGAAATAAAAGGGCACTCCTTCTACTCTTATTGAGCAATCATGATCAGTTTTTCAAACTGACTGATTGAAATTAAACACAATCATGTTTTTTTGGCCAATCAGATACAGTGTTACAGTCTTTAGTGTTAAAGGCTGTCCCTACAATTTAGGGTAAGATAAATTTGCACCTGTTAAGTATCAAAATGAATTGCTTAAAGTTGGATCGTGGGACTAGTTAGCTAACTAATTTATGATTAGCAGCTGTAATTCAGAGGTTTCCAAATTACAGGTCAGCATAATCTATCGTCATCCCCAGAGTGTAAGCACATATACTGTCCCTGGGGTGGCTGTAGCTCAGGAGGTAGAGCAGGTCATCTACTGGTCAGAAGGTTAGTGGTTGGAGTAGAAAAGTGCTATATAAGAATCAGTCTATTTAACAATCCACAGGGCTTTACTTGATCAGTATTTTGTTGGGTTCCAGCTTTGATTCAAGTCCAGCTGTGGTGATATTAGTTTATTGTACATGACTTGGTATCCTGTGTATATAAGATCCCATAGATGGATGTCAGAGCGCAAACCTAAGTCATCAAGTCCGAGGAATTCTCTGTACAAACCTGAGACAGGATTGCATGGAGGCACCGATTTTGGGAATGGTATCAAAACATTTCTGCAACGCTAAAGGTCCCAATGAGCACAGTGGCCTCTATTTTTCGTAAATGGAAGAAGTTTGGAAGTTTCATATAGGGCATTAATGTTAGAAAATATGCAACAAGTGAAACGCTGTTGTTACAGCCTGGCTCCAAATCTGCAACGTAAATATGGAGACTAACACATTTTACAAAGATTAGGTTTTATTTTAAATTATATAATATGTTAGCTAACATAGTTGGTTCCACTTAGACAAAGACTGAACGCTCTTGCACTGCCACTGCAAAGAGAATAGGGATGCAGAGGGTGTAAGGCTGATAATGCTTTCTGGATGCACTGCATCCCAAAAAGAACGCAGTTCTTAAGTTAAAGGGGGGTCCAGCCCAGTACTAGGATGATGTAACTAATGAAACAGGCAGGGAATGTATGGTGAGTGAATTTGTATAATTAGTACTATTTGGGATAATATCAATGGAAGATTCAAAAAGAATTGCTGTCATGCAGTGTACATCTGGACAGATGTATCCACGAGAAGCACTGCCTGACAAATGTTGCTCATTTGTTTTATGAACACATTTTCATGCTATATTTGGAACTAGAAAGCTAAAAAAAGAAATATCTAAGATAAAGCGTTTAGACACAGATACAAATGACATATTCATCTATAAGATCAGATATAACATGAGTGTCTTTTCTCTTAACATGAACTTTAATAGAAATAAAAACGTTGGCAATAGTATTTTGATTGTGTTTCTGACAAATGTGTGGTGTCGGACAGTGTGTGGGAGCTGTTTCACACTTATAGTCTTGTTATGGTAACAGACTGGCAGAGAGGGCTGATGCCAAGAATAGAGTAGCACAGTCTGGCACACAATCACACTGCAAACAGAATATGAAATTAAATATTTTCTCGTTGTTGTCTTCCAGCTCATGTGAACACCTTCTCGGTTTTTTCATCCCTCTGCTTCTCTCGTCTCTCTCTGAACCCCTCCGTCATCGCTGACTCACCTCATCTCTCATCTCTGCCCTATGTTTTTATTTGTTCCACTCCAGTGAGCCTTTACTTGCACAAAACACAAATTCAAAAGGCAATGAAACCAGGTAACCAAACAGTACATGTTTGGCATTGAGACAGAGTGCAGGAGTGACATCGACAAATGACCCACTGACAGAAGTGATCTATAGGTTTTCATATAACATTTTTTGTTTTTGTTATTTATGGCAAAGGCTCCTTCAGCTCTTTTTATTAGTATTACCTAGAGGGGCTCCTCAAGTCACTAATCTGATCTATATTTTTTTGTTGGTTTTGTTTCTTTGGAAAGTCAAAAAACGGTAGAGAAATGACACTTGGTGGTCATCTGTAATTCAGTGTTTATG